AGCAGAAGGAGAAGATGATGGAGGTTGCTGAGAAGTTAGGGTGGAAGATCCAGAGGCATGATGAGCAAGAGGTGCAGAAGTTGTGTTCTGAAGTGGGTATAAAGAGGCAGGTGTTCAAGGTGTGGATGCACAATAATAAACAAGCCATGAAGAAGAAGCAAATGTAAGCCAAACTTCAATACATTGATTTGTGACTGGGAAAAGAGATCAATATAATCAGTGAATAATTAGATCAGATAATTTGTATGTGCACATAAATATATATATATATATAAATATATATATATATATAGTCAAATATGTAGCTAGCTAGAGAGAGAGGAGATAGCTAGAGAGAATCAAGCACGCACTCCTTTTTTTCTTTGTTTTTTTTGCTTCTTAATTTAACATAAACCTAGCTATTTGATGCTCATCTTCTTTCTCTGCGGTTTGTTTGTTTGGTTGCTTTCGAAAAAAACCATAAAATTGCAAAAAAAAAAGACCAACAATTTTTTCTTGTGCTTGAAATGTTTGGCATCGAGCTCTCGCATCGCATGCACCTTTTCTTTTGATTTCCAATCACCATGCTTGTGCTTTTTCACTAGGGTAAAAGATGTAAAAGGAAGAAAAAGGAAAGCAAAAAAGGAAATGAGATGTCAGCTTTTTTGTCGTGGTGTTATGTGATTTTCTCATATTATTGTTTCATTTCATGTATGATTTTCTTCTAATTTTTCGCATCCTGTTCGTCTTCATGAATCATACATACCGGTGTGCCTTTGCATGCATTACAATATTTTCCTGTTTCAAAACATATGTGTATATTTTTTTTTCTTCTTTTTTATTGTTTATTAATTTGTAATTTGATGCAGAAACAAATTAAGCAGGTCTTATTCTCAGTTTTTGGCGTTGCATATTCATTAATATCGTATGGGTGATCAGAGTCACGTCTGCTATATATTTTCAGACCAAGGCTACCTCTCCCATAATATATACGTACTCTAAATCCCCAGCAGATAATTCGTGCCGAAAAATTATGTAGTGTATAGATCGATTTGTAATTATTTTATTGGTAGGCTAGAAGGCTAGAAGGCTAGAAAGGGGACACGGCTTGGTCAAACCTTCTCTGAGCAGGCCATATGCAGAATATTAATGATGAAGACAAACAAGAGTAGCTAGCACATGCATCAAAATCAGAGGCCTTGACTTGGGCCATAGATTACTAGAAATGAATTGACACAGCGAGACTAGCTTAATTCAAGCAATTCTTGACCCGTATTCATAGAAACAAGAAACATAAAACATTGATATAAAGAAACAAAACTGTAAGGGCAAAGTAAGAGAAAACAAGAAACATATAGCAACATAGATCATAGAACTTACAGAGATTCCTAGCTACTCAAAAGAAACATAAACTCATCAAACATGGCTTCATGGAGCAAGCATGCAATCGGCCTCCTTATATCTCTGAACCAGCATTCCTCATGGTAGCGCCGAGATCTCCTGCAGCCTGCGAGGCACTCTCCTTTGCAGCCTCATAGTTATGCTTGGCATGTCCAGTCATGCAGTCCTTAGCTGACTTGTATGACTCCCCAACATTTTGTTTTGCTTCATCGTATGAATTGGCTGCTCTTTCCGTCCCAGAATCAATTCCTCCCGCTACCATTTTTTTGGCATCGTAGGCCTTATCTGAGGCCATGTTCATTCTCTCCTTGGCTCCATCATAGGCATTGGCAGTTCTTTCTTTTCCATATTCCATTGCATCAGAAGCCTTATCAGAAGCCGAACCAATTGCCCCTCTGGCTGCCTCTTTGGCATCGTAGGCCTTATCTGAGGCCATGTTCATTCTCTCCTTGGCTCCATCATAGGCATTGGCAGTTCTTTCTTTTCCATATTCCATTGCATCAGAAGCCTTATCAGAAGCCGAACCAATTGCCCCTCTGGCTGCCTCTTTGGCATCGTAGGCCTTATCTGAGGCCATGTTCATTCTCTCCTTGGCTCCATCATAGGCATTGGCAGTTCTTTCTTTTCCATATTCCATTGCATCAGAAGCCTTATCAGAAGCCGAACCAATTGCCCCTCTGGCTGCCTCTTTGGCATCGTAGGCCTTATCTGAGGCCATGTTCATTCTCTCCTTGGCTCCATCATAGGCATTGGCAGTTCTTTCTTTTCCGTATTCCATTGCGTGATGAGTGTTATCAGAAGCCGAACCCATAGCCCTATTCATTGTATTCTTTGCTCCATCATAGGCATTGGCTGCTCTGTCCATTCCAGAACCCATGGCCCCTCGCACCGTCTCTTTGGCGTCGTAGGCCATATTGGATGCCATGTTCACTCCCTCCTTGGCTCCATCATAGGCATTGGCAGTTCTTTCTTTTCCATATTCCATTGCATCATATGCCTTATCAGAAGCCGAACCCGTAGCCCTATTCATTGTATTCTTCGCTTCATCATAGGTATTCGCCGCTCTGTCCTTTCCAGAACCAATTGCCCCTCTGGCTGCCTCTTTGACATCGTAGGCCTTATTAGAGGCAGCCATGTTCACTCCCTCCTTGGCTCCATCATAGGCATTGGCAGTTCTTTCTTTTCCATATTCCATTGCGTCATGAGCCTTATCGGAGGCCACGTTCACTCCCTCCTTGGCTCCATCATAGGCATTGGCAGTTCTTTCTTTTCCATATTCCATTGCGTCATGAGCCTTATCGGAGGCCACGTTCACTCCCTCCTTGGCTCCATCATAGGCATTGGTAGTTCTTTCTTTTCCATATTCCATTGAGTCATGAGCCTTATCAGAGGCCGAACCCATAGCCCTATTCATTGCATTCTTTGCTCCATCATAAGCATTCGCTGCTCTGTCCATTCCAGAACCCATTGCCCCTCTCACTGTCTCTTTGGCATCGTAGGCCTTATCTGAGGCCGTGTTCACTTTCTCCTTGGCTTCATCATAGGCACCGGAAGTTCTGTCTTTTCCATATTCCATTGCATCATAAACCTTATCAGAAGCCGCGCCTGTAGCCCTATTCATTGTATTCTTTGCTTCATCGTAGGCATTTGCTGCTGTATCCATTCCAGAACCCATTGCCCTTGTCACGGTCTCTTTGGCATTGTCAACTGCATCAGTAGGCATCCTTATAGAGGGATCAAAGTTGTCATGAACAGAATCGGTGTCCGCTGCCATTTGGGAAATCAGAGAAGCATATGTTGAGAATACATAAAGTAAAACTCAGAAGCATGAAATCAAATACTTGTTTGAAGAACTAATTGACTTATTAATTACTTCATCTGTGAAAGAATAAGGTAGTAATAAATAATTACAAGATCCAAAAGTGCTCGTTCTTAATCTTTCTGTAGCCACAGAGGCTGCATCCCCAGCTTTGTCCCTCATATTCTTAGCCTTCTCTTTTGCATTTTCCTGGCCGAATCCTAACCCCCTGAATGGCACCATCACACAACATAAATGAGCCAAAACCCTTAATTCTTAACACAAGTACACAACTACTCGTTTAAGGATGAAACGCAAAAGCTTAAAACTCAAGTTGTTAGCAGAAAGACTCGGCCTAGATTGAAAACATTTAGCTCAACCAATGTAAGACTAGTAGTTGGCATTTCCCTCACTTATGTGACATTTCCTTTTTGCTATTTGTTGGACTTTTCTTTTTCTTGTATAGGAGTTGCCTTGATCTTGGATATGGTTAGTCGCAAATAGGTTACATGAAAAAAAAAATAGCCATATCTATATATAAAGCAAAAGACAGAGAATGGTAAAACATTCAAAATATCAAAAATTTCCTTGATTAATGCAAACATTAAGGATTGAAATTATTAATTAAATGATGATAATATGGTAAATTCACACTTTTTCATATTAAAAAAAATTAAAATTAAAAGAAAAATCAGATAATGGATCTAATTTTTATGGAACACAACTACCAATGATCTTTTTTAATTCTAAAATAAATTTTAAATTTTTTTAAAAAAGCCTTTCGCAGGCGTGGAGAGGCTAGTAGATTAAGAACTTAAAACTGATTCTGCATCCAAAAAAAACTTAAAAACAATTTGGACCTCTATGTCATCATTTATAAGGTAAATGCTAGGTATACAACCTTTTTATACCACAATGTACCACATCTTTAATAGGGGTGGACTCCATTATATTGATGAGCTCCACCTCTCTCTATTAAAGACATGATACACAATGTGTTATAAAAATGTGGTATGCCTAGGATTACCCAAATAATTAAAGCCAAATCAAATGAAGCTTATGAAAAGAAAACTTGTATTTTATGTTTTGGTCCCCCCAACATAAAATCCAGTCTCCGCCCTTGCTTCCCTCCATATTTCTTCATCCCTCATTTCTCACATATGCTTTCCTTTTACTCTCTAGGCTAAAAAGCTGAAAAAAAATATATAAACTAAAAACGAAATCGCAATCAAACGGACCCTGATATAATACATCACATCACATCACATTTTTTTTGGGTTTCCAAAATGAGCAAGCATATATGAACAGTTACTAATAATTCACAAACAAAATGCATGATGAAGGGGAAGAAAGCAAAAAGTTGAAGGAATAAAAAACAGAGTGAATGATTTTGTAACAAATTACTCTGCGATTATGCCGAAGGTACGATCAACCCACGACTCGGTGTTTTCCTTGGCAGCTTTGAAGGTCTCGTGCGTTTTGTGCTGGGCTGTTCCAGCAGCCAAGTTCAGCGTCTCCTTGGCGTCCTGGCCCCAAGTCCCTGCAGACATAGCCAGCCACAACGCCAACAACAAAAACAAAAACACTCCTCTCTTCCCCATTTTTACAACTCAATATTTTTTGTGTTACAGAGAATGTGAAAAACCCAGTTGAGATTTGAGAAAATTAACAAGCACGGATGTACGGGACCATGAGATTTTCGAACGTCTTATTATACGCCTATGAGTATGAGGTGTTTGTATATATGCGCCACTGACTGCCCAACGTTTGCTTCTTCTTCTGTTGTGAAAAATCGGAGAGATGTTTGGGCTTCAGACTGATTTCTCAACGTGGCGCCTTTCGGGTCAACGTGGCAGTTATTCAGACCGTTATAGAAGGAGGCCATATCTGCCTTCCTTCCACGTGTTGCTTGGTCAATATGTTGCCGCACTTCGTGTGCCTTAATTGTAATTTGCTTAGTCATATGACGATAAGAGGGGACAAATGTCTGAAAGAAATTATTTTAATGCGTCATAATTTTTTTTGGTTGGGAAATATATTGTACTTTTATTTTTTATTTTTTAAGGGTGGTGAAATAAAAGATATTTTATTAATATTATAAAATGTGTACAACAAATAACGAGAATAGTCAACCTACAACCCAAACATGACGATTAAGAACAAGAGCAAAATTTAGTTAAAAGATTCGCGGCCTAAATACAATCACAGGTTAAAAAAAAAAGCAAAACTACATAAACAGATGCAGTAAGCAACATGCCCCTCAGCAACAACATCGTGGATCTGAGACTGAAAAAACAGAATAAATATAAGTGCATAAAATATAAAAAAACAAAAGAGACGTGGGCTAAGCCAATATCAAGGCCCATTACATAATAAACAAAATTAAGGAAAATGAAGAAAGAAAAACTACTCCTTGGAACGGAAAATGACGTGGCAGTGGAATGGTAACAACTCACACTTATCGTTGAAGTTGGAAAAAAAACAAGGGAAATGACCCTCAGTGCCACCCCTTTAATAATTTTAACTAAAAATGCCATCCCTTCCCAATTTTTTTATAACTATCAACTATAAATAGAAAATTATTGTACCCTTATTGCTCTCCTAACACATTTTCTGAAATTGACTTCCCGCCCATCAGCTCTCCGTCGCTCAATCTCTTCATCTTCACTCTCTGGTCACTCTGCTCTCACTCTCTCGTCTCTCAGCTCTAACTCTCTCATCTCTCGTCGCTCAGCCGTCACTCTCGCTTCTGTCTTCCTGTCCCAGCGAAATCTGTGCATCGAAGAACAACGCCATCATTCACAGCAAACAGGTACTGTTCATCGGAATTCTTTTACGGCTTAGGGTTTATGGGTTTGTTTGAAATTGGTTGACGGGGTTGTTTGAAATTGGTTTAGGGTTTGGGGGTTTCTCTGAAATTGGTTTAGTGGGTTTTCTGAAATAGGTATAGGGTTTAGGGGTTTCACTAAAATTGGTTTTGCTTTAACTCTGTTTGCTAACTTAAGGGCTTGCATATTGGATATGGATAAGTTCTCTATGTTTTTCATATTCTCTTGTGATTATTTGGAATTTCAGTTTGGGGATGAATATTCAATGTCTAAACAAAGGGCAAGGAACCATATGTGGTGTAATATGAGTTCTTTAAAAGTTTGCTGTTTTGTGCTTGATCATTGTATGCTTAAAACAAAGCGGGAAATGAGTGAAGATGGGAACATGCCACCAGCAGGTGTGGTTTAGAGAAATGGGGCCATGGATTTTGCTATAAGCTAACTCTTTAAGCTTTTGCTTGTCTTTTTTGTGTATGGATAGTTAGACAACTCTGTTTATGAGGTGAACTTTTAATTTTTTAATTGTACATGTGTAAGAAACATTTTTTACAGTTTTGATGGTTTATTTATTCATTTATCTTTCATATTGATAACACATACAATACATACAAACCTCTGATTTTGTTAACGAAAAAATGAAGGGATGGTGCCAATGTCATTAATTTCCTTACATTTGAAAGGAGGGCATATTGGAGTCATGATTGTGGTTGCCACTAATTGATAGGATGTTCCATGACATTATACGTTGAAGTCAATAAATTGTTTCCTGCTGTCTTCTTGTTGAATTGTTCTGAATTAGGCTTCTGCTACTGCACATTCCTAGTGTAGCTTAAGATGTCATGATTATCTGGTGTTTGGAGATGTGTTTGTAGATATTTAGTTAATTGTCAATGATCATGGAAGGTAAAGACTTAAATCCTTGTGAGACAGAAATTGGAGTGAG